CCTGTAATCGCCCCCTCCCAGCCACCCCTAGGCTCCCAGCCCCCACTCCTATCCTCTGCCGAAACTGATATAGCTGTCCCATCTGTCCATGCCCACATCACTCTCTGTCAGGCCATCTGGGATGAGACCAGGGCCGCCTTGCTGCGCACGGCCGATCAGAACAAGCGGCTCGCCGCAAGCAGCCAAAAGGAGCATGCCCCAAACTCTCACCCCGGTTCCTAGGGCCGTTTACCATCCAGGACATCATTCACCCTACTGCCGTCAAACTCAACCTCCCTGATTCTCTCTGTATTCACCCTGTTTTTCATGTTTCACAGATCAAACCAGTCTCCTCCAGTCCCCTCTGTCCGCCACCGGCTCCGCCTACTTCCTGTCCTGGAGGTGGATGGTGGCCCTGCATACACCGTCCGGCAGATCCTGGATGTCCGCCCTGGGGGCCGGGGTTTCCAATATCTGGTGGACTGGGACGGCTATGGTCCAGAGGAGCGGTCCTGGATTCCCCGTTCCTTCATCCTCGATGACTCCCTCCTTCACGATTTCTACCGCACACACCCAGACAAGCCTGGGGGGCCCCGGTGAGTCCCTCCTTCCGGTGGCCCCCGCCTCCCTCCTGTCAGGTTTGCCCAGCTGCACCTTCCTCTCTTCCTTTTCCTCACTCTAGTTTTCCTTCCCTGATTACACTATCTAACACACCTGCCCACTTCCCTTGATTATCACCAGCTGCACCTTATCACTCTCCTCCCTACTTATACCCTGCTCACTGATCACTCCCCTGCCAGTTCAATCTCTGTCTCCAGGCCCCTTTGATCATTGTTTTATTTCTTGCACTTATTACACCAGTCATAGTTCTCTCTTTTTGTTAAGTATTACCTTCTTTTGTTTTGTCCCGCTGCTTCCTTCCCCCTCTCTACAGACCACTTCTCTGGACCCTGGATCTACCCAGCTACCACCATACAGGTCGATGCACAGTCTCCTTTAACTGTTTGTTCCATATCCTGTCTCTGCAGTCATCTTCACCTCAACCCCGACCTATCCAGGAGTGACCCCAGCGTCTGCAGCCCGGTCTGTCATTATTCAACACTCCATAGACTGCATATGTTTTTTTTCTCTCCCACCGCTGATCAACACCCGGTTACCACTAACTACCTCTCCACTTCTCATTGCACTGTTTCACTTTGTAAATAAATATCACTGCTTGCACCGAAGCCAGCTATCTGGGTCCGTCTTTTTTCCCCGCTAGCTCATCATAGTGTCGAGAACCATAAATATCCCAAATGCAACATCTGCTGATTCATTTAAATACCTCTTAAGACTTTTATAAAGACTATTTGTTTTTAAAGGTGTCCACTTATACAGCAGTTTCTTCGGTTCATGAAACAAAGTGGAACTTAAAAAATGAATGTTTATGTTTAGTCATAATACAATTTTATAAATCAGATTATAATAAAAGGTTACAGCATAAGAAAACACTACATGGCCACACTGACCACTCACAGGTGCAAACATTATTGGCCAGATTGTAGTAAATGAGAGCAGAGCACTGCCTGACCTCTCCCACTTTGGACGAGTCAGTGGAAACACTGCAGAGAGTGGAGACAAACACTTGGCCAGACAGAAAATTCTTTTTTATTAGCATTATTATTTTGCGATACACAGTAGTCACAATTTCCATATTGTCTACCATTCTGTACATGAACAATAGAAATCACCTGTTAGTATTTTACTAAGACTGTCACAATGATGCAGCCAGAGCTCGTTCTCTGTTGATAATGATGCAAACAATGATACATGATAAGGTGTTCCCCTCTGCTGGCCGCATTAGAAATTACACACAAAATTACATTTTTTATTTTATTTGTCATTTTAACCACCAAAAAGTGAAATTAATATTCGATAAGCAGTCCAGGTGGCCGAGGTTTGACAATTATGATTATGATAGTATTACCCTGTGTGCTGATTTTGACCATAGTTCCACTTTGCATGTACTGTATATACCATAATTCTCATTTTATGTGTGGAACGGGATGTTTAGGAGCCTGTAGCATGTCAAGATCTTCAAATTAAATGCAAACATCTACAAACAGCACCATTTATTAAACTGACAGTTGCATATTTGGCAATAAAACAAAGTAGTATAATTTTGCTAAGTACTAACTGAATTCAATAATTGCCTCAATAATTTGAAAAGAGAGGAAGTGTTGAACCACCAGGAATCTTTCTAGAGCTGTAGAGTGACCTGAAGATGGCAGACACTTCCCATCCAAACTGTCCGAGCTTAAGAAGGTCTGGGTTACAATTATTATCCAGCTTTACATGGTTTTCTTTTTACTCTGTTCATTATCACTGAGCCATGCACACAAGGAAGTATATAATGAAGAGCTTCCTCTATGGTAAATAGCTGTATGGTGGCCTGCACGTTTTGAAAATTATTATTATTTTTCTTACAGCAGTCAAACTATATAACATAAATAATACATATTTGGAATTTCCTGGCAGCTCTCCATTCCCAGAGAGAACTTCCTCCTCTGGGCAGGTGACAGCAAGCAGAGTATAATTTTTTAATGAGATCAGAGCCTCTGCTGCTGTTGTAGGTCAGGATAACCAGCAGAGAGTGGCTTCCTTAGCTACCTGCCAAACAGCGGTCTGTGAGCTCAGAATTGGGCCTGTCCTGCCAGTGGGTCACTCCTGTGCGGTCACGGGTCAGTTTAATCAAGTTTCACCAGAACACACAGGAATCGGTTACGGTTACAAGGCAGTAAATAAATTAAGGATGCCCACAAAAAAGAAAAAAACAAGACAGAGAGTGGAAGAAGAAACCAAAGATGTGGATGACGAGGACTCGGAGGATCAGGAAATAAAGCCCAAGAAGAAAAGGAAGCATGTGAGTGAGTCAGAGGTTGATGGAAGGTTGAAGAAGAAAAAGTCTGAAGACAGTGATGAAGAAGGATACAGTTCTAATGCATCAGGGCCCAATGTGAGGAGCAGCAAGAAAGAAGGAAGAAAAAAAGAAAAGGTCAAGGATAAGAAGAAGAAAGCCAAAGAGGAGAGCAGGGATGAGCTGAGCGATGAGTCGGCAAATGCTGACAGTGAAGATAATTACACCTCCAAGAGTAAAAACAAAGGGGAAAAGCCCCCTGATGTGACTGAGTCCATTAAGAAAGGCTCAAAGAAGGTCTCAGTGAAAGACAAGATGGGGTCAAAGGATAAAAAATCCAAAGGTGAAGACAAAAAATCCAAGAACTCGGAGAAAGAGGAAGAACAAGCAGCTGGGGATGAAGGCGAAGGGAAAAAGAAAAAGAAAGAAAAAAAGAAGAAAGGTTCAGAGAAGAAAGATAGTGATGAAGACACCAAGAAGACAAAAAACAAGAAGAAAAAGGCTGAAAATTTTGTTGAAATTTATGAGAATGAGTTACGTAACTATCAGCCAGAAAGCGTGGAGAATTACGAGGACGAGTATCACAAAAAGAAAGGTAATGCAAACTTTTTATCTAAACATGTAAAATGTAAAAAGGGCAGGCTGCATAAGTGACACAGCTAAATTAGTATTGATAGAGAGAGCAACCAGAGGAGAGGTGAGTCCTTGATTGTAATTGGCTCCAGCAGTAATGTGCCTGTGCTTTAGTTTGATGTTCTTGGTAACGTTATACTGAGTGAAGTAGTATCAATGTATCATCAGTATGTTCTGTTCAGTCTGTATGACACCTGTGACTCCCTGATCTTTAAAAGGGCTGTTTTTACATCCTAATAGTTCCTTTTTGGCTCTCGTTGTTGCCTCTCACTCATACATGTAAAAATCCCAATTTAAAGCCTCACTGACGTTTCTCGCTCACACCTTCTCTTCCTGTAGTCTAGTTCTCATAAGGATAGAAGTACTAAAAACATGTAGAAGCAGGTTATATCTGTATGGATGTAGTCAATTAAATGACTACAAAGAGATAGAATATGAAAACAAAGAAACAATATAACTGCTAAATGATCATACTGAGATGCAAATACCACCACAAAACAATGGAAGATGACTCCAAAGACTCTCAGCAATCACAAAAACACTCAAAAGTACCAGTACACAGTGACACACAGAACTACTTCATAGAGAGGCAAAACAACAGAGAGAGAGAGAGAAGCAGCTGAGCTGCTGCCACATTGTTAGTAGTGGTTTTGTGTTTCTTTCAGTGTGGGTGTCCTGCACCTACTCTATGTATGAGGGGTGGGGACCCTTTCCTACTATATTTGTATCCAGGAGCCCATTGTCCCATAATCTGTCCATGACTGCATCTTACCATCCTGCCACATGCCCTGTGTAAGACACTTTCTCCAGCTGTAATCACACTGTGCATGTCCTTTCTGAAAACACACTTGTATTATACCATTACTCCCTGCAGTGTATGAAGTGGTGACCATAACTGGTGACGAGAGAGGAGCGGGCACTGACGCCAACGTGTTTGTCACGTTCTTCGGGGAGTATGGCAATACTCCCAAAGTCCACCTGGCTAGCAAGCAAGTCCTCTTCAACGCTTACTGGAATTTTGATTTAAGACTAACTGTGCTTGTATGGATGAAGGTCAAATACACATTGAAGAATCTGGTCAAATACAGAATGAAGATTTAACTTGTGTATCACATTGCTCTAGCCACAAGTCTCAGTTATAACATTAGCCAGTTAGACACCATGTTTAAGTAGGCCCTTGTGCTTGAACTAACACTTTGTTTTTTTGTTTTTTTTCTCTGCTTTATCAGCACAGACAAGAGGTATTTATTTCTTAATGCAGTGGTGGTGATGGTTGTTTAAGAAAATGGCTGCTCAGACCACAGATTGTGTGCTGTGATTTGCATGACATGATTTGCTGCATGTTTTTGCCAGACGTTAGCAAGGCTCCTATTTTTTAATTATGCAGAGTGATAAGTGAAAAGATGATGAAGTTCAGGGTGCCTTTTAAATGTTTTTCATTCTGTGATTTCAGGAGTCGCACAGCCTTCGAAAGGGCCAAAACTGATGTGTTCAGAATTAGAACTCACAACATTGGACCTTTGAAAAAGATAAGGTGGTGTTTATCATTGTACTGAATATGTTTTAGGATGCTCTTCACTGTAACACAGACATTGCCAGACATGTTTTACTCTGACTCAGATTTAGGACACTGATTTCCTTCTCTGAATTTGTTTGCAAAGAGAATTAGACAAAATTTATCAAAATGTTATATTTTTGTTGCTCCAGGATTGAGCACGACAACACTGGCCTAAATCCCAGCTGGTTCCTGGACAGAGTGGTGGTCACGGATGTGATTAGGCCTCACTTGAGGTTCTACTTTGCTTGTAACAACTGGCTCAGTAAGACAGAGGGAGATGGCCTTTTTGTCAGAGACCTACTGGGCAGCATGGACCCCATGGACATGCCCAAATGTATGGGCACTATACACACAAGTCTAAAATTATATAGCACTCACTGATCTTAGTATTATGTAACAGAGTCCTTATTTATTTTTAGAAAGTTAGTATTTGCAGCATCCCCATTTCTTCCAGTGAATAATTAAATGAATCACTCTTATCCCATCATTTTTTCCCACACAGTGGTTGCATGGGTTTGACTGTCTGTGTTGAAGCTTTGTATAAAGTTTGTTTTTTAGCTGTTCTTTAAAACTACTGGTCCTTATTTTCCAGATAACAAGTATACAGTGAGTGTTTTCACGGGAGACGTAAAAGGCAGTGGGACAGACGCAGATGTCTTCATCAATATCTTTGGAGAATTTGGAGACACAGGTAAGTAACACATGTCACACATGGGGTCAAATAGTTGACCTTTTCCCAAAGTGAGTACCACTGTTGGTGCAGTCAGGTATTTTGAGTTTAGCTGATAAAGTGTGATCATTGTTTTATAACAGGGGAGAGGCGACTTGACAGTGACAAAAATAACTTTGAAAAAGGCACAGAAGACAAGTTCACCATTGATGCGCCAAACCTGGGTAAAATTAGGAAGATCACCATTGGCCATAATAACAAAGGTTCCTCAGCAGGATGGTTTGTGGACAAGGTGAGAAACAGATAAAATAGATGTTGTATAGAAGACTGTGTTTCTTCTGGAAGTAAGACACTATAAAATGTTCAGAATTAAGGCCCCTTCGTCAGTTAAGATTATTAAATAACATGTTTACTTTCATGTCTTACATCACATGTAACTTAAGCGGTTTACAGCCCCTCATCTTGAAACAAAACTCGGTCTCAGTCTTACTGTACCTCATTCTCTCAGTTCAACCTCTGCAGAAGTACTTAAGACATGTGATCCTCTTATTTCCTCACAGTCCTCTCATCTGAGCCTGGTGTCGCTGCTCCTTCAACACATACAGCGCGAGCAATGATGTCATTCAGGCGCAAGCATGCACACATCTCACACACACACATATGTACGTCGTCATTCTATCATCTGTGTAAAGGGACACCGTGCCCCATCAGGGGATTGCCTTACAACACACAGACGAGTTGGTGGCTTTGTTGGTTACTGCAGCACAGACTGACACCTAAGCTCAGCAGTGCCAGCATTAATGAATCATATCCTGTTTACATTTCACATATGGTTTATGCTGCTGTCTAAGTTCACTCTGATAATTATCCTGAGATGTAGCTGGGAGTAAAAACTGTCATTTAGCAAAAACAGATGAGCTTGGTTTTGCTTTTGTTATTGCTACTGAAATGTGTTTAAACGTGTATACTATATGGTATGTTGATAAGTTTATTATACTCTAACCTTCATAGGCGTATAGTACACAAAGTAAAACATTTAATTCATTCAAACGGTTCATAAATGCATCAACTGACTCATAGAAAACAACTCAGCATGAAGCAACAGTCGAGTTATGTCAGTAATCATCCTGCTAGAGTGTAAAGGGTGACGTGTAATTTTTGTGTCCAGTAGCTGTAACAGCAGATTGTGGGACCAGTCATACTGATGGCCTCTGCAGCATCATCTCAAAAATTATAATGCTTCACTATGACAGTATGTGCAAGAGATCTCCATCACGGGCAGGCTATGATTCTTAAAATTCTTCTTATTTTTGATTTTTATACAGGTGGCTGTGGATGACCTGGGAAACAAAGTACTCTATGAATTCCCCATCAACCGTTGGTTTGCCACTGATGAGGATGATGGGAAGATCCAGAGGGATATTTTGGTAGGAGGGTCTCAACCCACAGGTGAGGATGAAATTTGGGCAAAATTAGTTTATGAAAAAAGTAACCTGTCATACATACTAGGGGTGTAATAGTGCATTGTGGAACAATATATTGTGACGACATGCATCATGAAAACTGACAAATGGATCACAATATCAAGTCAAGACTCCCGTGTAATGTATTTATGTTAACAAGAGGGGGCAATAGGCCAGTTCTGCTTTCTTGACCAACCTATCGTTCACCGTGATGTTCACTAAGCTTAGCCAGCCATCAGCTCATTAGCTACACATTAATTACACTCGAACCTACAGAACAGGGGAAATGTTTGAATAAGTAATAAAATAGTGTTTTGAACTGAATCGCTCTTTTTTGACATAGTAATCCATGTCTGGTCTAAAAAGTATTGCATAAAGGATGATAAGATAACGTATAAAAACTAGGGAACAGATAATTAGCTATTTATAACTTTTTATTCAGTCCAGAAAGAAACAAATGTGTTTCCTATCCAGCTGGCCAGTGGCTTGCTGTGTGATCATTAACTCTTGGATCAGACTATCAGTGTTTGGATCTGGTTTACCTAGTTCCTGCTCAGCTCCTTAGGGAGTACGGGTGCTGCGAACCACAGTGGCCTGACATGTAACTGTACCCACCAGGGATTGTGTACAATGTCCAGATTGTGACAGGAGACATCCATGGTGCTGGCACCAACTCCAAGATCCACATTGTGATGCACGGCACAAAAGGCATAAAAAACAGTGGCAAGGTAATGAACTAGAGAACTTATTAAAAAAATATCTCCAGGAGAAGTAGTCAGCTTTTATTTGTATGAAGCAGAAGAGACAAAGACCCTGCACTTAAGTAATGGATGTCTGCAGTAATATATTTACTGAAGTGAAATGTAGAAATCAGATGTTGTTTGTTTTACTTTGTTGACATTTATGGTATAAATGCTCATTATTTGGTATTTTTGCTCTTCATTTCAAAAAAGTAACTCACAAAGTAAATAGTGTGGCCAGTGTTGGAGTATCTTTTTCAGTTGGTGAACTTTGAGCTTCTGTGTCTGCTGCTTTATTTTGTCCATATAAGGTAGATATTGATGCACAATTTGTAACCTTGAATATTCCCGTAACTACAGACAGTACATTTTTATGTAACACAAGGGGCTGAATTCCCAAACAAAGACCCAAAGCAATGCATTTTGCATATTAAAACGGCGCTACTGTAACATTAATTTCCCAGTCTGTGTTTATTGATTCAGAACACTGAGTATGAATCTGATTCAATCTCTTCTGGGCGCATAAGGATCAGCTGCTATTTCCTGTAACATTTTGATCTCTAGGTGTTTTTGGAGGGAGGACACTTCGAGCAGGGCCGGACAGACATCTTTAATGTTGAGATTGCTGCGCTTCTCAGTCCTCTCAGCAGAGTCACCATTGGACATGACAACGGAGGACTCAATGCTGGGTGGTTCTGTGAGAAGGTACATTGAACATGCAAACACTACAATTTGGTAATTTACTGTGAATAAATTCAGTTAAGTCGATGTTTTTTGCAGGTGGTGGTGTATTGTCCGTTCACTGGTATAGAGCAGACCTTTCCATGCAGTAAATGGCTGGATGAAGATGAGGGAGATGGGCTGATAGAGAGAGAGCTCTATGAGATGGTCTCACTCAGGCAGAAGAGACAGAAAAGTGAGTTGAATGTCACTACTTATGGGTAGCAGCAAGTTCTGATTTTCTTTTTTATGTCCTGAAACACAGCAACAACATTCTGAATTCCCTTATATGCATCAGACATTTTCCTGTGTTGTTTTTCCTGTTGTTTTTGAAACGTCATCCAATATATTACATATTATATTGGTTTTCTCCTGGCCCACAAACTTGTACAGTAGAATGCTGTACAACTGAATGCATTAGCTTAGTTTTTTTCTGTTTACATTTATTTATAAATCTATTATGCTACTGCCTTGTTTCACACACAAGAACACAAATCACAAAAGCTGCCTGCTACAATCACTGTTTTCAACATGGTAGTTTTTGCTCAAAGATTTTTTTAAACAATCAAAAATACCATTTTATGGGTTCCACTGGGAGGGGTGACACTAACAAAAAAATGACAGTAGGATGATCTGCTTCTCCTCAGAGCACCCCTGGTCCTTGTGGATTTGGACGTCCGACCTGTCCAATGCAGGAACGGACGCAGAAATCTACTTCCAGGTATACGGAGAGAAGGGCAAGTCAGACGAGATCCAACTGGACAATAAGACCGACAATTTTGAACAGGGGCAGGTGGACAGGTTTATGGTATGTAAGTTGTACTGTAATTCTATTCCATATACATAATAGGTAAGATAATGAATGTTTTTAGTAAAGAGCTCTTATCCTGATGTAACCTCACAGATTGAACTGCCTGATTTGGGAAAGCTGACTAAGCTCCGTATCTGGCATGAGAAGAGACATCCTTTTACAGGATGGCATCTCAGCAAGGTGATGGAATCTCTTATCTAACAACAGTACAATCTCTTTAGCTATTAAATCAGTAAAATTTGCCCAATTTGTAACATATCTGTGCATGCATTTTTGAATAATAATCAGTATTAGTTTTTGTGATTCTGTTTTGGTTCTGTAATTTATATATGCTCATTTGTAGGCATGTGTTTTAACATGAGGATATTAAGACAGTATGTATTTTTAAAATGGAGACTGAAGGTTCAGAGGATTTTCAGGGATTTCATCCAGTCTTGAAATCCAGACACCCGCTCACATATTAAATCAAACAAGCTTTTCATTGTATTTCTGCAATTAGGCTACTCTGCTGAAGACTTTAACAAAGGAAAAGTATACGTTTCCTTGTGAGCGCTGGCTAGACACTAATGAAGACGATAACGAGGTCGTGAGGGAGCTACCTGCCACTGGAGAGCTAATCGCTGAACCGATGCCCTGTATCTGTACTCGCCATGAGAAACTAAAAGTCTGCTTTGCCAAATGTAGAGATGAATGTTAAACCTGATGACACCATGCTATTCTGTTCTGCAGTGATCAAATACAGAGTAACAGTTTGCACAGGGTCTGTCAGTGGTGCCGGCACAGATGCGTCAGTTTTTCTCAATCTGATTGGGGACCAGGGAGACACCGGAGATCGACAGCTGGTCAACTGCAGTAACAACGTCAACAAGTTTGAGAAAGGAAATGTGGGTATAATGAGTACATCACTGTTAGATATAGAGCTTATTGAAGTCTCAGGAAGAAAACTTTGTATTGTCATTTTTCACATCCTTCCTGTTTTCTTGCCTCCATGCCGGCGATAGCCGCGGCTGCAGGCATTATCTGTCCTGCCCATTCTTGTGAACACAATATGTCAGGAACACCTTGAGGGAATTTCTTCAGATTTAGCACAAGTGTCCACTTGGACTCAAGGATGAACTGATTAGAGCTTGATGGTCAAGGTCAGTGACCTCGCATTCTCATGAATTTGACTGGTTGGTGGAGACATACAACCGCAAAGTGGTAATTCTAGTTTTCTTCTTTATGCAGGAAATTAAATGACAAATCTCAAGCCAACACAAGCAGTTAACCTATTCTTGCTTTTGTCTTTTGTCTCACACTGGAAATATCACTAATCAATGTTCACTTAACCAGTGAGGTGGATCCATGCGGTTTCTGGTGTTGATGTCAACAGTGACAATTTTGGGGGATATGTTTATGGATTTCAGTCAGCCTTTAACCCCTTTTGGAGTCCGTCCAATCTCTAATCTAGCATAAGCTTACTCAGAAATTTTTAGATGCATAAATTAGTCTATGCTGATAGGAAAACTGTAGTGTAAAGAAACATGCATTCAATAATCACACTGCTGGTTCAAAAAATGTCTTGATGCCTCTTACTTGACACATAAGAGGCTATTAAAATGTAATTTTGCTTCCTTTTTTTGTGGATTTCCAGTTGGATGAGTTTATAGTCGAGGCGGTGGCCATTGGGCAGATCCGCAGGGTGAGGATTGGACACGACGGCAAAGGGGGAGGCTGCGGCTGGTTCGTTGATAAAGTGATTATAAAGGAGGAGGGGCAGACGGAGACTATTGAGTTCCCCTGCTACAGGTGCATTAGTCTCAGTGAGAATATGCAACAAAAACATGTGCTTAATAGTAGTTGCAGCCTCAGGTGTGTGTATGTAATAGATGAGATGAGTTTGTTTGTGTCATGTATTGTGCAGGTGGCTGGACCGCAATGAGGATGATGGGCAGATTGTCAGAGAGTTGGTGCCATTTGCAGATGGGCAACGTCTTTACAGTAAGTCTTAAATGCAGTTCTAGTTTATTCTAATATTTGAATTTGACCTTCATTGACCTGATTATGTTTGTTTGTGTGTTTCAGACATTGACTATCACATCTCAGTGAAGACAGGCCACGTCTCTGGTAGCAGTACAGACTCTGACGTGTTTGTCAAGCTCTACGGTGAGAAAGGTGACACCAGTAAAACAATGCTGCTGGTCTCTACCAACAACCTGGGAAACTACTTTGAGTCGGACCGCACTGACATCTTCAAAGTGGAAACCCTTGATATTGGACAGGTGACACATTGCAGGCAAAAACATGTTGATTTCTCCTATTTGATGCTGATAGTGCTATGACAAGCCTCATTTACCAAAGACACAAAGTTGGAAATTTTGTAGTTTGGTTCATTCAGGAGCCATTCATGCTAACAGCATATACTGTCAAGATGCTGTGGATCAACTGTGCATAAGATTTTGATGGTGCAAACCATTTTCAGATACTGCTTTCACTGAGTTGCCTTGATTTGAATCAGTGTTATAATTCCACAGGCTAATGGGATCTGAGGTCACTCCAGGTGATAGCCTCCCTGCTTGGTCAGTCCTTGCCAGAGAGTGTGTTTGTGAGCCTATCACAGCGTGACAACATGATCCGTGCGGTGTTCTATGTCATCATAGTCAACCAGTCACATGCTTTGTTCTGGATGATGGACAGCTCTTTCAGCCAATGAAATTACAAGCTTTACCATATGTCACATGTTGAGATTCTTCAAACTTAACTGTGTTAGAAATGGCCTTACTTACTTACTACTTATGGCCTGTTTAAGTGCTTTACTGTGTATAATAGAGCCAGAAGGCCAAGAACAGCGTCAAAGCATACTTACAGTATATCACAGAAGTGAGTACACCCCCTCAAATTTCTGAAGAAATGACACTTGGCTACAATGTAAAGTAGTGAGTCTACAGCTTGTATAACAGTGTAAATGTGCTGTCCCCTCAAAATAACGCAACACACAGCCATTAATGTCTAAACTGCTGGCAACAAAAGTGAGTACACCCCTAAGTGATAATGGCCAAATGGGGCC